AGAATGCTCAACATCATTAATCATTAGAGAAATGCAAATCAAAACTACAATGAGATATCATCTCACACCAGTCAGAATGGCCATCATCAAAAAAATCTAGAAACAATAAATGCTGGAGAGGGTGTGGAGAAAAGGGAACACTCTTGCACTGCTGGTGGGAATGTGAATTGGTACAGCCACTATGGAGAACAGTATGGAGGTTCCTTAAAAAACTACAAATAGAACTACCATATGACCCAGCAATCCCACTACTGGGCATATACCCTGAGGAAACCAAAATTCAAAAAGAGTCATGTACCAAAATGTTCATTGCAGCTCTATTTACAATAGCCCGGAGATGGAAACAACCTAAGTGCCCGTCATCGGATGAATGGATAAAGAAGATGTGGCACATATATACAATGGAATATTACTCAGCCATAAAAAGAAACGAAATAGAGCTATTTGTAATGAGGTGGATAGACCTAGAGTCTATCATACAGAGTGAAGTAAGTCAGAAAGAAAAAGACAAATACCGTATGCTAACACATATATATGGAATTTAAGAAAAAAATGTCATGAAGAACCTAGGGGTAAAGCAGGAATAAAGACGCAGACCTCTTAGAGAATGGACTTGAGGTTATGGGGAGGGGGAAGGGTGAGCTGTGACAGGGCGAGAAAGAGTCATGGGCATATACACACTAACAAACGCAGTAAGGTAGATAGCTAGTGGGAAGCAGCCGAATGGCACAGGGATATTGGCTCAGTGCTTTGTGACAGCCTGGAGGGGTGGGATGGGGAGGGTGGGAGGGAGGGAGATGCAACAGGGAAGACATATGGGAACATATGTTTATGTATGACTGATTCACTTTGTTATAAAGCAGAAACTAACACACCATTGTAAAGCAATTATACCCCAATAAAGATGTTAAAAAAAAAAAAAAAAAAAAAAAAGAAGATGTGGCACATATATACAATGGAATATTACTCAGCCATAAAAAGAAACGAGAGTCTGTCATACACAGTGAAGTAAGTCAGAAAGAGAAAAACAAATATCATATGCTAATACATGTATGTGGAATCTAAAAAAAAAAATGGTCATGAAGAACCTAGGGACAAGGCGGAAATAAAGACACAGACCTACTAGAGAATGGACTTGAGGATTCGGGGATGGGGAAGGGTAAGCTGGGACAAAGTGAGAGAGTGGCGTGGACATATATACACTGCCAAATGTAAAATAGCTAGCTAGTGGGAAGCAGCCGCATAGCCCAGGGAGATCAGCTCAGTGCTTTGTGACCACCTAGAGGGGTGGGATAAAGATGGGTGGAGGCAGATGCAAGAGGGAAGGGATATGGGGACATATGTATATGTATAACTGATTTACTTTGTTATAAAGCAGAAACTAACACACCATTGTAAAGCAATTATACTCCAATAAAGATGTTAAAAAAAATAATAATAAATAAATAAATAAATACTTGTTATAAAAAGTATTGAGCTTCAACTTTTTTCCAGGCACATAGTGATTATAGCAGTAAATAAGTAGACTCTAGCTAGAATAATTAATAAAAGTTTAAAAAAATAGGGGACTAGGGAACTTATTGAAAGGATAGTGGGCTATCTCACAGGGTTAAGGGAAGAGTTGACTCAGAAACAGCAGGAACCAGGTTAGATCTGGGTACAAAAACAGTGTACATTTATGGATCTTCTCTCCACTTTAAAGTGACTCCCCACCCCCCAGTAATCCCAATCTCTGTTTCAACTCAAAATGTCATGTTCCTGGGACAGAGAAACTAGTTGGGTCAGGGATATTTCCCTGGAATAAGTTACGATGGTCATTAAGGAAGGTTCACATATCATAGACATCAGACATGGCCATTACAGGACAACCCATGGTTTCAAACCAATTCCAAAGAGGTAAATCCTTGTTAATTGGACATCAATCTCCATCCCAAGTGTTCTCTACTAAAATCTAACATCAAGAAGAATGAAATTAAGGGAATGTGCTCACTCTCCCAGAAGATTGATATTGTAAGCCTTTTCCCATCATAAGAACTTTCTGACATCAATGAGCTGACCATAGGGAACTGACAGAACTTCTGAGATGGAAGGAGCCTTTGGTAACCATTAATTCAACTTCCTTATTGTGCAATGAGGAATATGAAGCCCTTGCATGCAGTCTTACGTGTATTCACACAGCAAATAAGTGGTAGTACTGGGTATAAAGGAAACTTCTGACTTTTGATCCTGTGGGTCCTTTCTCTGCCTACGCTCTACAGTGCTTAGCACTGTGCTGAGAACATAACTATAGAATCTTTCAAATCTCCCTGGGGTATTGTGCTCAGGTATAGGTAGCAACCTAGCAAGAGGTATCTATCATCCATGGTCAGAAGTCTAGAGAATTGGGCCGAGCTGAAGTAGCTTCTATGAACAGACATAGCTGAGGTTAGATCACATGATGGATAAGCAATCAAGGATGTGTCAATGACAGCTTAAGACAGGGCTAAAAGACAGGATTCTTTTCCTCCTCAGTTTTCTATTCCTGAAGCTAAACAGCCCTAGCTCCTTCCGCTAGAAAAGGGAAATGGCTGCCTCATATGACCTTGCATAAAAGTCACAGCTTACAGAATTGTTCAAATCATCCTTCTTCCTTTATGTAACCAATGAATCTATTTTCAGCTGCTCCCCTTCCTCTTTAACCAATTAACATCCAGCAAACTGGGTTGTCTGCTCTTCCCAATATCATGATTGATTATAAGTTTAGTTTAAGAAATAGGTATAGTGTGTGGTGGGAAAGTGTGTATATCTGGAGCTGTACTACCTTGGTTCAATTCCTAGGTTTCACCATTTCCTAGGGGTGTGATTTTTGGCAAGTCACTCTATTTTCCTGGGCTTTTGTTTTCTCACCTGTAAAATGAGGATAATAATAATAATTTCTACTTCATAGGGAGGTTGTGGGAATCCAATGAGTTAATAATACATCCTTGGGGGTACAAGAGAGCATATACAGATAATCTGACTCCAAAAAAGGAACACATCTAAAGACAAAGATTCTATTAATTCAGATGAACCAGCCCCTCAAGAACTATGCTCCCTAGCACTGACTTGACAAAACTAAGAACACTTAACCCTCAGCAATCAGCTGCAAACCCTAAAAGCCAACCTAAAAGCACACTACTACTGCTCCAACTACCATTGCTAACAGCCCAGAGACAAGGTATCCAGATGCTCTAAGAGAATACATGGGGCCAGTGGTTCACAACAGGTGCAATTCTCTGCTGTCTTTTTTGTTTGTTTTTATAAATTTATTTATTTATTTATGGCTGCATTGGGTCTTCATTGCTGCACATGGGTTTTCTCTAGTTGTGGCAAGCAGGGGCTACTCTTCGTTGCGGTGCATGGGCTTCTCATTGCAGTGGCTTCTCTTGTTGCAGAGCACAGGCTCTAGGCGCACAGGCTTCAGTAGTTGTGGTGTGCGGGTTCAGTACTTGTGGCTTGTGGACTCTAGAGCGCAGGCTCAGTTGTTGTGGCACACGGGCTTTGTTGTTCCACGGCACGTGGGATCTTCCCGGACCAGGGCTCGAACCCATGTCCCCTGCATTGGCAGGCAGATTCTTAACCACTGTACCACCAGGGAAGTCCTGTTTGTTGTTTAAAAACAGATAACATCCAGATAGATACAAGAAGAAATTGCCGGGCTTCCCTAGTGGCGCAGTGGTTGAGAGTCCGCCTGCCAGTGCAGGCGATACGGGTTTGTGCCCCGGTCTGGGAGGATCCCGCATGCCGCGGAGCCGCTGGACCCGTGAGCCATGGCCACTGAGCCTGCGCGTCCGGAGCCTGTGCTCTGCAACGGGAGAGGCCACAACAGTGAGAGGCCCGCGTACCGCAAAAAAAAAAAAAAAAGAAGAAATTGCCTTCAATTGTTCTTTCAACAAATATTAACTGAGCTCCTACTATACGGCAGCCACTGTTCAGTGTGCTGAGGACAGAGCAGAGAACAAAATAAATGAAGTCCCTGCTCTTACTGAGCTTATACTCTAGTGGGAAATACATTTTACCACAGAAGCAAACACACATCTAAGATTGTTTTAGATTGTGATCAGTGCTGTGATAAAATAAAAAGGGATTAGGTCACAGAGAGTGCCTGGGCCATCTGAGCTACTTTAATCTCCCTTTCCTGCGATCTGAAGGATATAGGGGCCCACCATGGGTACAACCAGATAGAAAGAAAAGGAAGTGCAAAGTCCCTGAGGTCGGACAGATCTTAACATATTGTAATAAAAAGGAGATCAGTGTTGCTAGAGGAGAGTGAACAAGATTTTTATAAATCAAGTCAAAGAGGCTGGATCTATTGATGGTGGTGTCTTGGACTAGGAAATGGTGAGAGATTCTGGACAAATTTTAAAGACAGGGCCAATAGGATTTCTTGAAGAACTGTATGTGAAACACGAGAGAAAAAGAGGATTCAAGGGTGGCTCCAAGATTTTTGACCCGAATAACCAGGTGTTCCCATTAACTGGAATGGAGAATGGAATTAACTATGATTTCTGATGGGTCATTCTGGATTTCCACTAATAGCTGTGGATGGGACCTCAGGGCCCTTCTCCAACTTTGAGCAGCCTAGTTATGGAATGGGGCACTGGCATAGGACTGTTGTTTTGGGTGAGAGGAATGAAGCACATTTCTGGGAATCCCCACATTCTCTTCCCCGATTCTATTCGTAAACCTGGAGATTTACACAATGAGAGATAGAGAAGACTGAGCACATCGGGCCAGGCAAAGCGGAGGGGCCCCAGGAACAGGAAATCTGCTGTAGCCACTTCAGTACAGAAACTGTACGAGAGTGGGCAGCGCCAATGAGGGCGCTGCAGGAACTTTCTTGGCGATCTGGCAGCCTAGGGAACCACTTTTTACCATAAACAAAGTAAAGAAAAGAGATGGGGTGGGGTTTGGTGTCCTAGCCGCCGGAAGGAATTCAGGTGGAGCCGACTGTGCAAGCTTCGGGGCAGAGGGGGAGAGGAGGCCGCCACTAGCAACTAACCTCAGCTTCCTAAACTCAACAGAAAGGTCGGAGGGGTTGTTGGAAGTGCCAGGAGCCCCGTGATTCTCTCTGCCCGCCAAAGAGAGATGAAAACCCAAGTTGTGCGGTGCAGCTTTAAAGGGGCTGGTGATTGACAGAATGTGTAGCAGTGGATGGGGTGGAGCCGCTGGGTGGGGTCTGGGACAGGCAGCTGGGAGAAACCAAAAGGAAGAAAAAAGAAAACCATAGCCCCTGATATCGCTAATGCCAGGCGGGAGAAGCTAGCCAGAAAGGGAGGACAAGAGGGTTTTAGAGCTCACCTCCATTCCTACCCCGATCGACTCTCTCAAACCCTTCTGTCTCCTTTTGAGATAATTAAAATCGAGTGTACACCGCCCCTAGTCGGTGCCCATTCACCCTAACTCTCCACTGAACTAGGTTTGTAGTACGAGGGAGTGAGGACCCCGAGTCCACCAGCTCAACCCCGGCCCCGCCCCGTCGGCCTGGCCCGGGGCTGGGAGGAGAGGATGCCTTTGGAGGCGCAGAATCCGAAAGTAAGTCCCTTTCATTTTGCCTCCTCACCCCTCCCCTTCCTTTTGCCACCCTCACTGGGGTCTCGGCTGGCGGGGGGAAAGAGCCACCTTACTGAAAGAGACTCTTTCAAGAAGGATCCGGAGGGTGGGTCAGGGTAGGGTGGGGTAAGAAAAGGAGGGGAGCGGAGGAGGGGTGGTGCTTTAAAGCCTAGGGGAGCTGCCACCCACGGGATAGGTACTCTCAGAGTTTGCTGATTGTATGATTAGAGCCTTGATTTCCTCTCCTGTCCTTAGAGCCTTGACTTATCCCTTCCAGGCGTCCTTTCTTTTTCTCACCCTCCAGCATCCCTATCTGGCTGCTTAAAGCTTCTAACCGTGAGCTGGGAAGGCTCCATCTTGCCTGGCTTCTTAAAGGGACAGTGCACTAGTTCAACTGTGGGAAATAGATCCTGGAAATTAGATTTTGAGAAGGATGGCACTGACTCACCTTACTATGACAATACATGTGTTGGGGGAATTTGTACAGAGAGGACAGTTTTTCTTCCTCATACCAGCCTCCAAACTTGTTCTAATATCCAGTTGATTCTCAGGAGGTGCATCCTGGGCAATGTTGCCAAGTTGCACATAAGTTAACTGAAGAGTCAATAGGCTCTGCAGTTATAGCTCAAGAGGAAAATTTCTGTTTCCTGAGAGGTGCCATGGCATTGCAGAAGATTTGGAAAAAATAATTTATTCTACAAATATTTATCAAGTGCCGGATTCATTGCCTGTGGCTGATCCCACTTCTGAGTGTCTGTAATATGTCAAGACCATGTAGAGTGGTGTTTCCTTTCTTAACAGATTGACGGCCAAGGTTTCTTCCTAGAGATGAATGTTGAATTTGATTCCAACATTTACCAAGTATGTGTCACGTGAAAGTTCCCACTGTTCATCTTTATTGTCTTTTCTTTAGTACCACATCCATAGACCCAAGCCCAAGTGACTGGGAGATCCAGCTGGAAGAGATAGGAGCTCAAGTCAAAATGGCATGCAAAGAAAGAAGGGCAGGATGCTTCAATAGGGAAGCCAAGGCCACCTTGGCTAATATGTCATTCACACGTCCATCTACAGTCTGGAAGATTGTATTGGGGAGGAGGGCTTCACCAGCTCCCTTCTGCCGTTAAATAAAAGAACTGGTGTGGTGGAAATTTGTTAGAAGGCCTCAAACAGATCAGTGGCATCTCTTCCAAGTTTATTTTTCTCGTGTTTCTGCTTCTGGAGGGTGGCAGGTCTGGATGGAGCCTAATGATATCCCACAGGTCAAAGAGATGAAAACATGTTGTTTAAGGTTTTAGGTCTAATATTTCACTCTGGGTTTTCTTTTTAAGGTATGGATTGTCTATATGTATGTATGTATTTATTTCTATTTGGTCAATGGAATGCCACAACTTCCAGCGCTCTGCAACTTACCAGTTCAGCTGTCTCTGGTATTACACATGCAAGGCACAAAGACCCTCCCTTCTTTAATGTGCTAGGTTTCATTGCATCTCTGGTGTCAACTCCCATCAAGGGCCTGTGTTGATTCTAGGTTTCTCAGCAACATTTAGCTAAAGCACCTTCCTCCATCCCTCATCTCAACTGGTTTTAAAAACCTTAAAATGACATTCTGAATGGCCATGTCGTTGAATCCACTGGATTCAGATAAAGAAGAAAGCCTCACTTAGTGTTCTTTCTCTCTAAAGTCCCTGGTCTATGGGGTCCTAAAAACAAAGGAAACATGAATTCAACTGGAACTCTCCTGGTTACTATCATCAGTGGGAGTACAATCTTGTCCTAGAGCAAAGAGCCACTTGTACATGTCACACACACTGAACTCTGCTATCCACACCCTGGCGTGGAGGGTGGGAAAGGAACTATGTGCTGACTCCACAGCCAGCCTCCTGCATTTAGTAAGCATGGAATATGTTAGGTATTGCTGTGCTTCCATTTTAATATTTGATTGTCCCTTTGCGTTCATGTTGTTTTTTCTTTGGGAGAGGATATAGCAGCAGGATATAGCTGTCATAAAATATGGTTGATGAAATATGGTTATTCACTTCCTAGGACAATGAAAGGTTTGTGAACCCACTAACAATTATTATAGGCAAACAATAGAAATCCTTCTCCAAAGGCTTCAAGTGGCTTTCCCAGAGCAATTAGTTTGTTGTCATTCATTCTGCTTCCTGGGATTGCAGATAATTTCTGTCTACACAGAGGCAAAAGGGATTCATAAGGGATAATTGCAAAAAGGACACCTTGCAGACACTCTCTATTTCACAAACAGTACTTTTGACCCCCAACTCCCGTTGTGGAATGCCAGGATCTGGTGGGCTAGGCTGTTCTTGCCTAGACTAGTACAGTTCACCCCTACATTTACTTTGGTCTGAGTTCCTTCCTAGTTTTTCCTCAGCCTTCAAGGGTAAGGACCTGTGATAGACAAAGGAATCAATACAAAAGTACATTGTGTTATGAGATTCATTAATTCATTCATTCAACAAGTGTTTACTGACGATCTACTCTGTGCCATCACTGCACAAGACTGGAGAGTCTACAAGTCCCCTGCCTTTTTGGAGACTGTATTTTAATGAGCGTGTGTTAGTGGAGGGGAAAGACAATAAGCAAAAGGTTTTTGTCAGGTAGGAGTAAGATGAGAGAAAGGACTGCGGAGAGCTGTTTGATATAGAACAGTCAAGGAAGGCTTCTCTGTTATGGTGATTTTTTAAAAATTGGGGTACAGTTGCTTTACACTGTTGTGTTAGTTTCTGTACAAAGTGAATCAACGATATGTATACATATATCCCCTCACTCTTGGACCTCCCTCCCACTGCCTCTCATCCCACTCATCTAGATCACCATAGAGCACGAAGCTGAGCTCCCTGTTCTATACAGCAGGTTCCCACTAGCTATCTATTTTACACATGGTAGTGTATATATGTCAACCTTAATCTCCCAATTCATGCCAACCCCCCATTCCCCCACTGTGTCCAATGTCAGTTTTCTATGTCTGCGTCTTTATTCCTGCCCTGCAAATTGGTTCATATGTATCATTTTTCTAGATTCCACATATAGGCATTAACATACAATATTTGTTTATCTCTTTCTGAATGACTTCATTCCATATGACAGTCTCTAGGTCCATCCACATCTCTACAGATAACCCAATTTCGTTCATTTTTATGGCTGAGTAATATTCCAATGTATGTATTTACCACATCTTCTTTATCCATTCATCTATTGGTGGATATTTATGTAGCTTCCATGTCCTGACTATTGTAAATAGTGCTGCAATGAACATTGGGGTAAATGTGTCTTTTTGAATTATGGTTTTCTCAAGGTATATACCTAGTAGTGGAATTGCTGGGTCATATGGTAGTTCTATTTTTAGTTTTGTAAGGAACCTCTATATTGTTCACCAGAGTGGCTGTATCAATTTATATTCCCACCAACAGTGCAAGAGGGTTCCCTTTTCTCCACACCTTCTCCAGCATTTATTGTTTGTAGATATTATGATGATGGCCATTCTGATTGTTGTGAGGTGATAACTCATTGTAGTTTTGAGTTGCATTTCTCTAATGATTAGCGATGTTGAGCATCCTTTCATGTGATTTTTGGCAATCTGTATATCTTCTTTAGAGAAATGTCTATTTAGGTCTTCTGCCCATTTTTGGATTGGTTGTTTGCTTTTTTGATATTGAGCTGCATGAGCTCTTTGTATACTTTGGAGATTAATCTCTTGTCAGTTGCTTCATTTGCAAATATTTTCTCTCATTCTGAGTGTTACCTTTTTGTCTCGTTTATGATTTTGTTTGCTGTGCAAAAGTTTTTAAGTTTAATTAGGTGCCATTTATTTAGTTTTGTTTTTATTTCCATTACTGTAGGAGATGGATCAAAAAAGATCTTGCTGTGATTTATGTCAAAGACTGTTTTTCCTGTGTTTTCCTCTAAGAGTTTTATAGAGTCCAGTCTTACATTTAGGTCTTTAATCCATTTTGAGTTTATATTTGTGTATAGTGTTAGGGAGTGTTGTAATTTCATTCTTTTCCATGTAGCTGGGCAGTTTTCCTAGCACCACTTATTGAAGCATCTGTCTTTTCTCCATTGTATATCCTTGCTTCCTTTGTCATAGATTAGGTGTCCATTGGTGCATGGGTTTATCTCTGGGCTTTCTATCCTGTACCATTGATTAATATTTCTGTTTTTGTACCAGTACCATACTGTCTTGATTACTGTAGCTTTGTAGTATAGTCTGAAGTCAGGGAGCCTGCTTTCTCCAGCTTCGTTTTTCTTTCTCAAGATTACTTTGTCATTCGGGGTATTTTGTGTTTCCATACAAATTGTGAAATGTTTTGTTCTAATTCTATGAAAAATGCCATTGGTAATTTGATGGGGATTGCACTGAATCTGTAGGTTGTTTTGGGTAGGATATTCATTTTCACAATATTGATTCTTCCAATCCAAGAACATGGTATATCTCTCCCTCTGTTTTTGTCATCTTTGATTTCTTTCATCAGTGTTTTATAGTTTTCTGAGTACAGGTTTTTGCCTCCTTAGGTAGGTTTATTCCAAGGTATTTTATTATTTTGTTGCAGTGGTAAATGGGAGTGTTTCCTTAACTTTTCTTTCAGATTTTTCATCATTAGTGTATAGGAATGCAAGACATTTCTGTGCATTAATTTTGTATCCTGCTACTTTACCAAATGCATTGATTAGCTCTACTAGTTTTCTGGTAGCATCTTTAGGATTCTCTATTTATCATGTCATCTGCAAACAGTGACAGTTTTACTTCTTTTCCAATTTGGATTCCTTTTATTTATTTTTCTTCTCTGATTGCCATGACTAGGACTTCCATAACTATGGTGAATAATAGTGGTAAGAGTGGACATCCTTGTTTTGTTCCTGATCTTAGAGGAAATGCTTTCAGTTTTTCACCATTGAGAATGATGTTGGCTGTGGGTTTGTCATATATGGCCTTTATTATGTTGAGGTAGGTTCCCTCTGTGCCCACTTTCTGGAGAGTTTTTATCATAAATTGGTGTTGAATTTTGTCAAAAGCTTTTTCTGCATCTATTGAGATTGTCATATCGTTTTTATTCTTTAGTTTGTTAATATGGTGTATCGCATTGATTGATTTGCATATATAGAAAAATCCCTGCACCCCTGGAATAAATCCCACTTGATCATAGTGTATGATCCTGTTAATGTGTTGTTGGATTCTGTTTGTAAGCATTTTGTTGAGGATTTTTGCGTCTATGTTCATCAGTGATATTGGCCTGTGATTTTCTTTTTTGTGATATCTGGACTGGTTTTGGTATCAGGGTGATTGTAGCCTCATAGAGTGAGTTGAGAGTGTTCTTTCCTCAGCAGTTTTTTGGAGGAGTTGCGAAAGAAGGGTGTTAGCTCCTCATTAACGTTGGATAGAATTCGCCTGTGTAGCTATCTGGTTCTGGACTTTTGTTTATTGGAAGATTTTTTTATCACAGTTTTAATTTGATTACTTGTGATTTGTCTGTTTATATTTTCTATTTCTATTAGGTTCAGTGTTGGAAGGTTGTACCTTTCCAAGAATTTGTCCGTTTCTTCCAGGTTGTCCATTTTATTGGCTTGTTTTAGTCTCTTATGATCCTTTGTATTTCTGCAATATCAGTTGTAATTTCGCCTCTCTCATTTCTAATTTTATTGATTTGAATCCTCTCAGTTTTTTTCTTGATGAGTTTGGCTAAAGGTTTATCATTTTTATATATCTTCATAAAGAATCACCTTTTAGTTTCATTGATTTTTGCTATTGTTTTCTTCATTTCTATTTCATTTATTTCTGCTTTAATTTTTATGATTTCTTTCCTCCTACTAACTTTGGGTTTTGTTTGTTCTTCTTTCTCTAGTTGCTTTAGGTGTAAGATTAGGTTGTTTATTTGAGATTTTTCTCTTTTCTTGAGGTAGGACTGTATTACTATAAAATTCCCTCATAAAACTGATTTTGCTTCTTCCCATAAGTTTTGGGTCATCATGTTTTCATTGTCATTTGTTTCCATGAATTTTTTGATTTCCTCTTTGACTTCTTCAGTGATCTCTTGGTTATTTAGTAGCATATTGTTTAGCCTCCATGATTTTGGGGTTTTTTTTCCTTTTTTTTCTGTACTTGATTTGTAATCTCA